GAGATTAGTTGGAGAGCTAGTGTGAGATTTTGAGCCAGTCACTCTCTCTCAGCCCACATTTCTGACAGGGTTCTTACAGTGATAAAATGAAGGGAGATTCCATGTAAGCTCCTAGAGAAAAAGTGGGATAGAAATTTTATAAATAAATTTAGTTAGATAAATGCTGATCAGGATTAGTCTTAGTTCCAGGTTATATATTGAGTATTGCCATCTAAATCTTTGCTAGCAAAATTAAATTAATCAATTATGTTGGTGAAATTAATGGCTCTCAGTCCTAACTTGAAAAAGTCAAAACCAGTTTTCTTTGGACAGCTTTGATGGTAGCTGGAGGCACTAATTTTTCTTGAATTTAGAATATCTAGAGATATGGTTAAACTGATTAAATTGAATTTAAACATATTGCTGTCAAAATAATAGATTTGGACTGATGAGCTGCAAACAGAGTGTAGTAAATGCTTTTTTTAAATAATATTTTGCTGTGTGTAATTTATATCATAGATTACTGGTACCCTTCTATACATTCCTGAACTGTTTTTCAGAAATTTAGTGCATACTTTCAGTGGCCTTTCAATGGAAATTCTTCTCTTTTTTCACTCAGGAAGTTTCACATACCAGTTAGAGAGGGTGGTTTGAATTTTCCAGATCTGAGTTTACATCATGAAATATATTTTCTGTTCTGGGTCAATGGATAGCAAGATTTGTCTGCTGGGAACTTTCCTGAGCATTTCTGACACTTATAAATTGGAGAGATCTAGAGTCCATTTATGTTAGGAAGATATACAATTCTTCTTACTTCTGTATTAGCCACCGGAGAGGAATGCAGTAACATGCCAACTTTGACCCTTATGATCAAGCTAAATTAACAATGTAGGGGAATCCAAGTGTCATCCAAGTGGAGAACATGGATGGAATGTGGAGCTTTGCTTTGGAGCAATTAGGAGGAGGAGAAGGAAGAGGGTTTTGTTTTGTTTTTGGTTTGGTTTGGTTATTTGAAATGTTCTAGCAGAAATATTAAGGCCATGCTAAGCTCCATATTCAAAGATTAAAATGTGACTTGAAGTTTATGTGCTGTATATTTAAAGTAGTACCTTAAATCAATTAAATATTTTCCTTGAAATTGCACATTGTGAGAACCCAAGAAAAGATGCAAGATAAGATGTATTCTATGTATTGTTCTTTTTGATTATATCCTACTTTTTGTTCAGAACTCAAGGCAGTATATACAGTATTCCCTTTCCTGTCCCTTCCAACCCAGAACACAAACCTGTAAGGTAGGTTGGGCTGAGAGAGAATGATTGACCCAAAGTCACTCAGTTTCATAGCTGTGGTTGCAACAGAACTGGGTCTCTCCACTCCTTGTTCAACACTTTAATCACTGCCCCACACTGAGTAGGTGTGTATCACTGTAGGTGATACCTGCCCACCAATGAACCCTTTGAAACCCAGTTTGTCTTTCATATTCAGATCTCTGCACAGCCCTAGAAAATATTTTCCCAAAGTCATGGACTGGCAATACCTCCAGTGAAAAGATAGGAACATGCAGTCCTAAGATTATTAGAGTATGCTGTGTATTAAATCAAATATTCAAGAATATGGAATGTCATGGAAAAAGAAATGGGAGAACCTAACACATCAACACTAGTAGAAAATTATTTGGACTTCTAAGATCTCATTCCATAGATAATTCAACAAAAATGTTTTTGTTGTATATGTTGGATATCTACGTGTCTTTTCTTGAAGGAACTGAGGAATTCACATAATTGTGGCATTGTGATGCTTCAAATTCCTGTGAAATGGGATTGTGCCCTAGTGATTCACTTTGGGCCAAAATTTTCATCACATCTTTTCTTCTGGGAAACGCATTGCTTTTTGTAGGTACTTCTGCTCATGTGCCCATTGGTTGAAAATTAGCAAGAGACAAAAGAAATACATATTGCACGTTCTTATGATTGTGAAAAGTTTCATAATGCAAGGATAGAAAGGTAATATTTTTTTCAGGAACAATATAGTAATCTGAAGAACTTCCCTCTCTTTTTGTTTGTGAACAAAAATTCTGTCCCTGGGAATCTCAGCTGGAGGACTATTCACAAATTGGGTCTGTCTCATACTATTCTGTATGATTAATTTTTCATTTTTTAAAATGTAAAATTAGTCAAAGTGACTTAAATATAAAAAAAATGTATGATATGACAGGAGCATATATGTAAGACTGTTTGACAGTTTATGAGTGATAAACGTACCTACACATTATTCCCTTCTCCCCCCATGTTTGTATTTTGCAAATAATAAAGAATCACCATTCCAGTTTGGAATGATAGCTTATCACCTGACACTGATTATGCAGTGGGGTGGTTCAATAAAAATGATGTATTGCAATAGACTTAGGTTTGCTGGCCATATACAAATGGGTTTGTCTCTAATAATGCCAGTATTTACTCTTCTTATCTGAAGGTGATCCTACTTATGTATTTTCGCCTGTGGATAATGGGAGGTTCCATGCCAGCATTTTCAGAACAGGACAATCCAGCTTCATTCTCACCATATCTTCTTACAAGGTACGCAACTGGGATTCACTTCCTTTCAATATGAGCCAAATATAAATCAAATTTGTTCTATATGCCTTGTTGCCTTTTCCCTCAAAAACTGTTTTTATTAAAATAAACTTAGGAGTTCTGTTATTCCTATGAGCTTGCCATTAAATCTTCTCAGTGTATGTATTTCAGGAACTCTCCCAAATGTGACATTTGGAGACTTTCACA